TCGCTCCGTCCGCGATCGTCTTTCCGCCGAGCCCTTCGGCACGCACGTGGCGATAACTTTGACCCTGGCATGTCTCCCAGGTTTCAGAGGCAGCTGCAGAAAGAGTACTTCGATCCGTGAAAATGCAGAACTGACTCTGAACGTAAACGGACGCATGGGTTTGAATCTATGTGCCACGATAGCACTGACGACGAAGATATATAACACTGTTAGCACACTGCTTGCAGTTGGGGTCGCTCAGCTTGCAATGCAACAAGAAACAGAAGTGACACCAAGACTACCATTGCGACTCACAGAGCAGGGTAGCAACCGAAACCAGACCCGAGAGATTGTATCCTGGGAGTGGGCATGGACGGCGATCACAGCGACCATCCATATCCATCGCCTGGTCACAAGAACACATAAGCCCATGATTTGCAGTTCAGGAATTGTGAAGTAAATTTGCAGGTTTTTTTGCAAGTAAGTTAACAACTAGGGTGCCCGGGCACAATTCTGCATTCCGATGTCAGGGTTTGGCACACCAGGTGTACCCATCAAAAAATCACAGGGTATCAGCAATGAAGGGTCGTCAAGTGTCTTCTTGTTGTGTTTTCTGCATGACTAGAGTGCCCATCACTAGCAAGCCAGCACTTTCAGATGACAGAGCCCCAAAGAGCAGGCTCGCAAATCGGAGGTAGAGCGTTCAATCCCGAGAACGGTGGGAAGGACCTTGAACACCTGAGGTTTTTCTGGGGGGTCATTCTTACCTGTCGGTTCATCTTCGAGGAACTACAGGTTAGCCGGCTAACCTTTGGGATTCTATAAAGATCAAGCTTACACCCCTAAACCCGACATTCCAAACCCCTAAACCCTAAATCCTCAACGTCTCAACTCTGAACCCGAAAAAGGTAAAAGGTTCCCTACTCTACTACTGAGCATTAGACATCCGAGAATATGTCATATTTCTTTTTATGTTGTTCTATTGGATTTAAAACTATCTGTATGTGTGTAACTATGTATATATGCATACATATGTATATATATATATATGTATATATGTATCCAGTTTCTTGGGGGGCAGTTCGGATTATCTGCCTTTTCGGGAGAGTTTAGCGTTTGGGACTCTAAGCTAATAGGGACCTCTAGGCTGCTTCGATCTTAGAGCCCTCATCTTCTCCATGGTTCTAAGTAGGGAATGGGGGTAGGGATCCCCAGAATAGTCCGCTTCAGGTCCCTTATAGTAGTCCCCATACCCCATTCTCCCAGTCCCGACCAAGAACCAGGAAGTCTTGAACCAAAGCCTTCGTGTGGATAGAAGTCACTGACCCTCTGACCCCTGCATTACATCCTAAACCCAGGAAAAGCTTACGGCAACAGCCTCCGAAAAAAGAGACCAGTGTTACATGTTGTCACTACTGCCAAGCTGCTCGGAGATGAAACTTTAGGCTGGGTGGAGCGTTTAGAGGGTTCGAGTTTCGATTTCGGGATATGGGTTTGGAGTCTAGAGTTTAAGGGTTTTGGGTTTGGGGCTTCTGGATTAGAGAAAAGGATGGTGGCAGCAATTAGTTGAAGACAAAATGGCCCAGAGAGCTGTTCCACGACATCGGAGCACCCCACCCTGAGTAGCGGGCGTCTTTGCCAGAAAGATGCCCCCTCGAAACCCGTAACTGTACTATCCACATGTGTACATATATGCATATACAGACAGAGGTATAAACGACACAACTCGATGTGCATCAACGTACCTGTATAACTATACATAAAAGCCGCATGTATGCATGTCACAAAGACATAGTATAAGCATACATGCATGTGTGTGTGTGTCTATGTCTATATATGTATGTATGTTTGTCTGTCTGCCTGCCTGTCTGTGTGTATGGATTTATGCATGTAGGTATGTATGTATGTATGCATATATGTATGTATACACACATACAAATTACATGCATGCAGACACACATACAGACACCCATCAGCATCTGCAACAAGACTCCCCTCGAAGCCCACCTGCTGCACCATGGGCCGCAGGGAAACGCATGAGGCATTGGCCTCACGAAGGGCCTGACTTCTAAGAAGCATCCTGGTGCTGGGCCAAGCGACGTAATGTAGAAATTACGTAGGGGTTAGCCTACATATCATGGGGCTTAGGTAGCGTAGGGTTTACATAACACAAGCTTGAGGGTTTAGGGTTCAACAGGAACATAGCGCTCCAGAGGGGCTCTACCAGGTTTTTATAGGATGTTGCAGTGTACAAAGGGGCCTTCAGAAGTGGTCTGGGGCGCATATTGAAAATCTAAGGATAAAGCATGCCGAGTTTGACCGCTACTGTTTGATGGACAAGGATTCAGTAGTGGCTGGAATCTAGGGTTTCGGCTCCTGCGCTCGACGTCCAGAATTTCGCCGCAGGGGAAAGGGCGCAGCGTCAGCCCAAAGATTCGCATTCTTTGAACTAGAGACTAGGGTACTGAAAATCCTGCCTGTTTATAGTCAGTCGTGGTCAGGAACTCAAACACCCCGTACTCCCCTTACCCCCTTCATACCTCGACATCCAAGATTACGGAAACAAACGATACACCTAGGTTCAATACGAGGCCAACCCTGAACCCCCGATGCTCTCTCGCGTGCTTTCACCTGTGCTTACCAGTATCAAGATTTAAGACATACTCGTTGGTGAGGGATCTGGGTCTCTGGGCATGTTATCCGGGCGCAGGATTTCTGGAAACTCCGATGTCGAAAGACGTGGAGCCTCAGAATGCATCTGGCCAGAACGAAAAGAGCATCACGTCATAAGCTGCCCTGAACCCAAACCATCAAACCATGCATGAACCCAGAACCTCCGTGCTTTAAGCCGTTAAACCCAAGACTGCCTAACCCATCAAAGCCCTAACTCCTTTACACAAAAACAACGTATTCTGAATCGTTTCCTCAATCTTAACAACGACACCCCAAAACTGCATCCTGGAACACAGATACTAACATAAGGATCTGAATAATCAGAATAAGGTTTTGAATGTACGAGTTTACAACAGCATAAATACACTAAGTAACTATGGTCAAGTATTCGGTAACTATACTGTACAACCCTAAACCAAACTTTATGCAGCCCTGAAGAAGCAAGACCCATACACCACTAATTAAAACGACCTGTTCACACCTACATAAACAGACACGCCATAAATCCTAAACCCTAAACCCTAATCCTACAAAACCCGAGACGTCCCGGTAGTTTTCGACGCGTCCCCACGACAGGGGGAGGTCCACGACCTGAAAAGCGCCAGGGACCCTAAACCCTGAGCTTAAGCACACCTTCTGCACTTCGGCAGAAGGCGCTGGAAAAGAGCGTGAACCATGCAACAGCTGGGATGATTGCTTGAGGCTGACGAGTTTATCAGACCTTCTGAATGTATTTATAATTTTGCAGAATTCTGTGAGAGCTGTGCAAAAGGGAAACGTGGTACCCCTGATTTCCGGTGTCGAGCGCGTGGGGCTTCAGGTCCGGCTTGGCTTTAGAATTGCTTAGGGGCTGAGGGCTTTCGGGTCGAGGGCTTCGGCATGCAGAAGTTGAGGTTTATGATGAAAGCTCCGCCGAGGATGTGGGATTCGAGTCCCAATGTCGGCATCGTGGTTGGGCCTCCATGTGCCGGCTTTTGCATTGTGTACACATACACCCCAAACACCCAACCTTTGTCTGTATATTCGAGCTCAGCATGTGCAGACATGTTCTTCATGTTGCATGTGTGTGTGAATTACATGTGTAGATACAGGTAAAGATACAGATATAGACATAGACATAGATGTACGAAACCAGAGAAAGTAAGGTGTAAGGTACAAACTATCACATATAAGATAGAAGATGGAAGATAGAAGGTACAATATATAAAATACAAGAAATAAATCGAAGTTGAAATATGAGATATAGAAATATAAGATATGAGATATGAGGTATAAGGTATAAGATATGGAATAAAAGATATGAGATAGGAGACACAAGATATAAGGTATAGATCTAGATATAGACCTGGATATGGGTATAGATACAGATATAGATAGAGATGCAGATCGAGATCGAGAGAGAGATCGGGGTAGAGATACGGATGGGGATAGAGGTAGAGGTAGAGGTAATAGAGGTGGAGGTAGAGCCACCGGTAGAGGTAGAGGTAGAGGTAGACAGAAAGATCGCGACGGGATAAAGATAGAAATGTAGATGTAGGTATAAAAAGTAGTTTACACACAATCAAACACATATCTATGTAGGGCATAAAATGCTATGGTTTTTGCTCTTGACCTTCCAAGAGCGCGAATACTGGGCTGACCAAAAAGGCTTGCGGACCAAGTTGTACTCTTCCAGTTTGCTGGCGTCGATTTGAGGGTCTCGGTTTTGGTGTAAAGCTTTGGGTTCAAGTCTTTAGAACGTCGGATTTGGGATTTCAGTGAAACAAGTGCAATTTGGTGCTCTCACTACTTAGGCTGAGGGTTTGGGGCAGCCGATGAGTGTTGCTATGTATGGAGCATATGGGTAGACCATAGCCTTGTTCCGACACGCGAGTTTCTTTATCTTGAGGTGCAACAAAGGATGTGCCCCAGCTGCTGCAAAAGTTTTGGCAGTTGTTGCCGCGAAAATCACCACCTAAATGCTACACCCCAGGGGCTGGGGGTCTACGGCCTACGGTTCGGTATGATTCAATATTCTGACTGACTTAGAGAACGTTGATTCCCGTCGGGAAAGTAATGCTGAAATCGCCTGTCGAGATAAAGCCTGTCACGAACATCGTCGATGGTCGGCAATTGAACCCTTCAAGGCTCAAACATGATCCCTACACCTCAGGAACGTAAACCCCCCGTTACTTTTCAGCCAGGGCCATGACAAAGCTGCTTGTTACAACACCAAACACCCTGCATTTTAATTACGCTACACATCAATAATCAACAGCCAGCAAACCCGAGATGCCCTCCATGTGTTGTAAAGCATAAACTGCCAGCTCCCAAACACAACACAACCCTCCCCGCACACTGCCCGTGGCTCAGCCCGTGCAGGTCAGACGCCGGCGCAGCGCCAGCAACTGCATTTTTGGAGAGCTTTGGCTTGGCATTGAAGGCATGACTTGGTGTCATTAGGGGCTTCTTTGTTTTGGACTGTTGTGTTCTGTAGGGTCTTGGGGTTTAGAGAACAAGGCGGGTAGTTGATGAGATGTAGGGTTAGGGTTGCATAAGCCATCTTACACGGCCTTGCTCCAACCATGCATCGGACACCTTTGGCTAAGCCTTCCCATTGAAGCTGCCTTCCCTCAGCCTCGTAACGAATCTATCTAATATTATACTACGTTATAGCATAGCATCGTACAGTAAAGTATAGTATATTATGGTACAGTATAGCCTAGTATACCATAGCATAGCATAGTAAAGTAGAATATAGTATCGTAATGTATAGTACAGTGAACACTAAACATATTGCAAAACTTGTAGGGACCTTAAAAATTATTACAAAGTTTTGGGGTATGGCGTATTGAAGGAGCCGAACAAACCTACTAGTGTAACCGAACCAGCATTTCCGATCCTCAGCCCTTCAACCTCAAACTCTGGCGAAATTAGCTTTCCGAACCCTCAAAACCTACATCGCCACAAAAGGCTTAAGCTTACTTCCAAGCTCTATATGGGTGGTTGTCAAGATTAGTGTCCCTTTTGGGGTATCCTAAATAATAGGTGCCGTATTACATTAAGGACCCATGAAGGGATCCTAATTTTGACAACACCCATATGACACATGCCATCATCGTCAGCACAAGAATTTTGGGAAGTGTATTGTAGGCACAACAAGCAACCCCCCTAGCAGGCCCCATTCTAAACTCCAACAGCTTCAGGGCTTAGGGTTCAGGTGGGTTTAGAGCCTTTAAACTGACTTGACTTTTTCCGTCTGCCCAAATCGACTCTCAACTCCAGAGACTACAGAAACTTTGCCCCAAAGGTACTGTAATCGGCTTATGGGTTTTGGGGACCCTGAACCGCCACGAACCCTAAAACACCCGAGTATCAAAGAAACAGAGACGTAGGGTTTATGGTCTATGCTTTAAGAGCCTCAAAGAAAATCTACTTGCTATTTCGGATGTCGGGTTTGGGGTTTAGAGATAAGCCGCTCCTCTGCCAACGGAAGACGTCAGGCATCCAAATGCTTGTCCCAAATCACATACCGTTGTCCCAGGCCAAAAACCCTAGACCCAAATCTAAAACCGGTTTCTCAGAACCACATGCCCTAAACTCTACTTTAAAACCAAACATGTTGCCTAGCATGTCTCCACCGGGCCTCTGACATGAGCTTTCCAGGAAGCTTGCAGAATCTTTGACTTGCGCAGTGCACTTCTTTCAACCCGAACTCAGCCAAAGAAACACCAATGGCATAGAATATAATGGATCACCAGCGACACCCTTCAGTGTTGGCAAGCAGTGAGGCACTCAGCTGTCTGTCAAAGACTTCAACTGTACTGTGCCTGCAAAACTCTCCAAGCAGACGTAACCCGGGCAGGCGGGTTGGGGCAGCGAAGAAAACTACCCAGCATACTTTGAACATCTCGAACAAAGACTGTCTGGTCCTTAGCAGGGAATGGGGGAAAAGATCCCTACATAGTAGACCCTATATAGTCCCCAATAATCGTCTCCATAATCCCTTCCCCCATTCCCTACTAAGAACCGGACTGCAGAGCTTCACAGAGGAGCAGTAGCGGTCCAGCTGCATCGGTGGTTTTAGCTTCTCATCCCAAAGAAAAAAGTTCTATCTACAGCCCCCAAACCCGGAAACCCTAAACCCTAAACCACTAAACCCCAAACCACGAAACCCTGAACCCTCAACCCTCTAAACCCCCTAAACCCCAAGCCCCAAAACCTTAACCCTGAAACCCTCGAGCCTCCATGGAGTAACTTCCCACGAAAGCCTTGGACCACTCTGTCGCAGCCCGACAGGTTCTTACAGCTTAGGGTTTTCAGGGTTTTGGAGTTAGGGTTTGCTTCAGGGTTAGGGGTTTTAGTTCGGGATTCAGAGACACCGGAACAAGTAGTCTTCATGATAAGAACAAGGCCTTGTTGAATGTTATATTTTTGTGGTGCTGTAGGGACGAAAAGAGTACCTTTACATGCTATTCAGGACTTGTTCGGAGGGTTGGGGCGAAGACCTGTGTATTCCCCTAACCTTTAACTTAACCCCAAGACTCGAAACGAACGAACTTGAAAGTCCGAAACCCAAAACCGGAACTCTGAAACCCAGATCCTAAACTGGTTAAGGGTTCAGGGTGCAAGGGTCATCCGGAACCCTCCATCCTAAACCCCGAAACCCCAAACCCTGAACTCTCGGAAGAGGGCCTCTTCAAAAGCGGGTTTTTGGTTTATCCTTTAACTGAACCCAACCCCATGGGCCCCAGAATAAAGCAGACTCATGCTGACTTAGGGTTTCGGGCCTCGGGTTTAGGATCCGAAAACTTACCAATCGCTTCAGGTTCCTGTATAAGAATTGCAGCATACACTTCCTCAGAAGAGACAAGTATAGGCCCCAAAGAGCTTGAAAGCCTTGAAACCCACATCCCTGAACCGGTTATGGGACCCATACAGCCCATAAGACCGTGGCAAAGCCTCATGAGTTACATAAATGTACAGAAAAAGCTGCAAGAAAACCAAGGTCCGTAATCCTGAAACCTATTTGGGCCAGGCTTTGAGGTTTGCTGTGGGTTTGGGGACATCGGATCTGACAACTAAGGCTTCGAGATTCCAAGCTTAGACTTTTGGTGTTCACGGTCGACAGTCAGGGGTGTCGGGCTTCAGGCTTAGGGATTCTTTTAAGTTAAACTCGGATCTCTGCAAAGCTGAGCTCATGAAGTAGATGATTAGATCTTACCATAGATCGGTCATTCGGGCTCTGGTTTCTGACACGCACAGAAGAGGGCAATCGAGAAGGAGGAGGGGAGGTGGAGGATCTGTGCTCAGGATATAGAGGTATAGGGCCATTAGGGTTTAGGGCTTAACAAAATACCTGGCTGACTTCTGAACCCCTCCTTGTAACTTTTCGCCTCCTTAGTATAGCTGAAACAGAAGCTCAAAAAGCTAAAGTCCTAAGAGCCGAACAGAAGAACGCCATGAAAACACTTCACAGCTGAGGGTTCGGTTCGGTCAGGATTTTGCTTTTTGATGTTGCCACTGTGTTACGTGTTCTCCAAGCCCGGCTCTGCAACAGCCAAAAAACAACACGACCGGAGGAGACACCTAGACCGAAATCGTAGAAAGAACCCGGTGAGGGAGGATGTCCTGAAAGATTCTGCATGAGCTGTTTCTGTGTGCACGGGCAACATAGACATGTTGTGCAGTTGTCAGACAAAGAATCCCTGCCGATGCCTCCTAAAACTTCAGCGTCTGGCTGGTGCCGCAGTCAACATGGTCTCTTGTCACTTCAGACCGCTACTCATGACAGGACTATTGAAGGATGAGGATACTGAGGATGACGATGATGCTGGCGACGACGATGATGATGATGATGATGATGTTCATGGTGGTGTCCAGAGCTATTTGTGCAGTTGCATTTATGGTTCCACGGTCCTACCGCGATCACTGTGATTCACAAAATCGGTCCCTTAGCAAGAAACCCAGAGTAAGCCGCGGCACCATGATTCCCAACACGACCAATCGTTGGGTCAAGCCGCGGCGATTCCTGGGCCGAAGGCTCCGGGCGAACGTATTTTTCGGTTCCGTTCGAGTCTCATGGACATCATCCACAGGAGCCAGGAATTCGCGAGAATTCACATTGTTTAGGATTTAGAAGCGACGGGCTGCACGTTTCGGGGTTTCAAGTTTCAAGGCTTACGTGTGTATTCAGGATGTGGGATCTAAGGAATCTTTGTTCGGGGGTTGACTGAGACTTACCTTGATCCGCTGCTTCGGCGTCGCTGGACTAAGACAAGCGAGCGTGGTGGAAGCTCTGTGCTTCCGATATACTGGAAGGGGCCTAAATAGTTACCAATGTTATTTTGGAGGTTCCTTCCTTATTATAATTCGAGTATAGTGGGCCCAAAACCCTTTTCTACTTATTAATTAAGACCCCTGTGTTACCCCCAAAAAAACCGCAAGACTGAACTCCAAAACCAAAAGAGTTCCCTGCATGGAGAAAACATGCCTGATACAGGGGCCTTAATGATTAGAATAGGGTTTGGGGGCCCCTTAAACCATAATGATACTAAGGAACCTCTGAAATAGTATTGGTAATTGCTTAGGTCCTTTTATTAGGAAAGCTGATGACGTGTTTTTTTCAATCCTTCGGGCTGAACTTCGGGGCTTAGGGTTTCGGGTTTAGGGTTGCATGGCTGAGGTTCGGGGGGCATCGGAAGATTCGAAACTTGATTGCTTGTATCATCCCCCTTACTCAAAACTTGAGGTACACAATAACCTGAATTACAGAAACGGCTTCGGGCTTATGGCGCGGACCTCAAACTCGGAGATTGAAGTCTCGATCCAGAGCTTCAGGCAAATAAGATACAAACCCCAAAAGTACGACCCTAAAACGCTTTAGGGTTCGGAGTTAAAAAGGGTTTAGGCTTAAACACCCATAGAACAACAAAAATCTCATGAAACCAAGCAAGCTTGGAAGGCTGCAGAAGCTCCCAAACCCTGTAAAGCAAGTATATGGGAGTTTCCGAAAATCGGGGTAGCTCATTTTGGGGTCCTTACAATGGTCCTAGTATTCTGGGTGCTATATTAGGGTCCCCTATATACTCCGACCGAGATCCAACCAACCAACCCTAAACATAGCACACCCCCGAAACGTTGTCTGTCAAGGCAGACAGAGGGCAGTTCCCGGACCATTGGGGTCCGCAGCGCCGGGATCAGCTCCATGACAAGCCTTCAGCTTTTGCCGGGCTCGGCGGGTTCTTTTGCTCAATAACAGTTTCGAGGGTCTACACCCCCCAAAACCCCGAAAGTCTTGAACCCTAAGCATTTAAGGCGAAATCGGAAACCCTTAACCATACAAGCTGTAGGGCTGGGGGCAGGGGTTGGCGTGTGAGACTTAACTCCGCAATCCCTTGGCCCATACCTACATATCTACGGGTCCTTTGCGAAAGGACCCCATGGCACATTCGTGGTCTGGGCTTCTGGTCTAGAGCTCAGCCCCAAAAGGCCCTCAAGCCTAAGCCTTCGGTGTTTAAAGGCTTTTGGGCTTCGGGTTCCGGCGGTTTTTTGGGGGGGGGCCTCTGCGGCTCTGTGGCTCTTGGCCTCTGTAACTCCTGGACGTTGGGCTTGAGGACTGAGGGTTTAGGGAGGGGTCCAGGTTGAGAATTCCCGGGGGGCTTCGGGATCTAGAAGTGGGAGCAGATGGCTGGCCATATAGTGGTACGATTCCTTCCGGTGTGGGGTGATTGAGTTGTAGCATAATATACCCCAAGACCCTATTTTGGTTGTTCAAGGAAATTAAACCCTAAACCCTAAAGCCGCAAAACCCGAATCCCGACCCCTAAACTCAATGGTTTTGCGGTTCTGAACGCTTTGGGACTCAAGGCACTAGCACTTTCGTGGCCGAGTCGGGGTGCTGGGGTGCAGAAGTTTTTGCAGCATCAAGGTTGAGGGTTTAACGCTTTGGAGGTTAAGGCTGTTGAGGGTTCTCTTCTCGATAAACGGCCCCCTTCCCTCAACCCAGAAACCCGAAGGCCCTGAAGCATCAAACCCTCAACCACGGAATCTTTGAGCTCTAAACTTAAACCGCCGAACCTAAACTCCTTTAAACTCTATCCATGCCCCCAAGCTTTACTAAGTCCTAAAGCTCTGAACCCAACAACAACGCTGGGCTACCGGTGCAACGCAAGCCCATGCAGCTCTGATATACCAGGGGTAGGGATCTGCCCCTAAAGAAAGACGAACAAGCAGAAGAATCAGACAATTTTGAAAAACACAACACCAATGACATCAACAACAGTATCAAACATAGTAACAAAAAAGAAGCAGAAGCAGAAGAAGAAGAAGAAGAAGAACAATAACAGTAACAACAACGATAACAATCATTACAGTGATGATAGCAATCATGATAACAGTGGCAGTCATAAAGAAAGGTAACAGCGCCTGGTACGTGACCGGCGTTTTGTGGCGTAGCTGAAGCAGGCAATGTGCTAAAACCTAGGGCAAACTTGTATTATGACTAAAAAGTTGTGCTAGGAAAGGCGGAGAATCCCTGTGACAGGTCGATCGTTTTAGCGAAAAAGGTGATGGCGCTGCAGTAAAAGCCACTTTTGCGAGCACCGCGCTGCGCAAACTTGGTCTGAGTGGACGTTAATATGGTTGACCCGTGGATGCTCTGCGTCAATGAGATCTGGTCTGAGTGGACGTTAACATGGTTGACCTGTGGATGCTCTGCGTCAATAACATGGACCACCCATGGATGGTTTGGGCGACGTGGGTTGTAGCAAGTGCCGAACACACCGGAATTACCGGTGTGTTGGGCATATGACCCTAAGGAAACATGGCTTCGATCAGAACTAGAGCTTGGGCCTGCCTGCGACAGAAGTGCGCAGTTCTGGGACTTACAGGTCGGGGCTGGCCGGAATTAGCCCCCCCCACCCCCCCCCCCCCACCCCAGAAAAGTGAGAGGACGTACAGGACGCACACCAGGCGTTGTCACCTAAAGAAACTACTGATAATCATGACAGGAACCAGTTTTCGTTATTCCGACCCACATATTACCTTAATTAAAGATCAAGAGGTCACTGGGCTGTAAGCGAGCAGCCAAGGCAACACCCCCGTCACCGAGAGAGCCAAGAAAATCAAGGTCGAGGCCTGTGGGCACTCATAGGGCGGTGCAAGGGTTACGCTCAGGGTTCCTTTCAAGCCTTGAAGGCTTCCTCTAAGGGTTCTTCTAAGGGTTCCTGTTTTGAAGTTGCTTGGGAGGTCCTGGGTGTCAGCGTTTGGGGCTTCTGGCCGGCCTTAAGAAGTGGGTCTCAATCATTACACTAAGGATTTGGTGTACATGATAGTGGAGCTACATGAAGGAACACTGGGGAATAACATCGGCAAGTATTCAAATCTCCGTCCGCTAGACGGCCGCAGCGGACAAGAAATGAGGACCCTTGGATGAAACAGATCTCCGGATTTTGGCAGGGTTGACGGCTTAGGGTTTCCGATTTCAGGCCTCTGGTTTGGGATCCTTTCTTCAGGGCTTCGGTTTTATGGTAGAGGGCGTACGATTCATCTTCAACGACCGGCTTCCGTGCTTTCTGCAATCTCCTGGTCTAAGTCTAGAATTTAGAGTTGGGAGGGTCCGGGTTGGGTTAAGAGGGTCCGGGATTTTTGGGTTTACGGTTAAGTGGGCTGCTTTTTTGACATAGCGTTTACGGTTTAGGGTTGGCGTTTGAGGTAAGGACCAAACTAGGATAGAGTGAGCGATGTAGCTGTGATGCACTGGGATCTTTGCACAAGGACGTTGAAACCCAAAGTCTTGAGATGAGATGGGTATGACACTTTAAACCCTAAACCCTAAAACCCCAACCGGTAAACCCCTTCTCCTTCAAGGCCCTGCTTCGGATCGTCAGACATGCAAGACTTACGACAAAGTGATTTGCTGCTGCTACTAGTCATCTACCAAGTCCCCCGTCTCTTGGAGGGCTGTAATACGGGGATTCATCTTATCGTTGGATAGTCAGGGGGTCTACATGAAATTTCATTACGCCCCAAACCCTAAACACCTAAACGCCTAAACCCTAAACCCTGAAACCCTGAAACCTAAAGCCCTCAAGCCTAAGCCCTAGATCCTAAACCCTAAACACCTAAACCCGAAGCCCTCAACCTTAAGCCCCGAAACCCTAAAACCTAAAGCCCTCAACCCTAAAACCCTGAAACCCCGAAACCTAAAGCCCTGAACCCTAAGCCCTAAACACCTAAACCCTAAGAACCCTAAGCCCCTGATCCGCTCTTTCCAGAGCTTAGCCCCAAAGCTCAGGTGCCTCGGGGCTCGGGGTCGTGTAGGCACTAGTTTGGATAGTCTCATGGTTTAGGGTTTAGGGTTTAGGGTTTAGGGTTGAGGGTTGAGGGTTGAGGGTTGAGGGTTTAGGGCTCAGGGCTTAGGGTTTAGGGTTTAGATACTTTAAATTTTTTCGGGGCCCCCTTTTTGATGCAAAGTACGCATTAGGGTTTAGGGTTTCGGGCTTTCAAGGTCTAGGGTTGGGACGTCGTTATCTTGCCAGTGGAGCTACCCGAACAAAAACCTCCCATAGCCGTTACCAAGCCCTCTTCCTGCGATCAAAGTTCCGTGCCGCCGCCTACTGTAGGAACCTGATGTAGAAACCCTGGCACAATAATCCCAAAATCTAATAATCCAGATGAACTTTGACAGAGCCTTGATGAAGACCTAGGGTTGCTTGGTCAGCATCGTAGATTGCAGGGCTAGCGCGAGAATAGAAGAGTATGACGTGGAGCTCACATCAGCCAACGGCTTTATGGATGTGGGCTTCAGGGCGTACAAGGCGTTGAAGGGTTTGGGGCCGAAGGCTTTAGGGCCTTGAGGGTCTTGGGTTCAAGTGATCAAAGAGGTGTCGCAACTAGGAGTTCTGAGCATAGGGTATACCTAAGTACTCATCTTATCGACCGAAACACCCCGTTCCAATTTCCCATGCCCTAAACCCTGCACCCTCAACCCCTGAACCTCTAACCCCTGAGCCTTAAAAGCTATACCCTAAACGATTTTGGGTGCGGCTCCGGTTTTGGCAAAGCAGACAAGCAGACGGCCTTGAAAACGAGAGATCTCCTCTCCAGCAAAGAATGACGCTTCCAGCGCATGCCCTGCAGGAAAACCACAAGGGCTCCATGCCTGGATGGGTTCTCAAGCACTCAAGTCCAAGGGTAAAAGGAGGGACCCTTGATAAGGACCCCTAGCCTGTAATGGGCTTTTAATGATTTTAATGGGTTTCATAGCTATATCAAGGGTATATACCTCGGGGTCCTCATGTCCCGGACCTGAGAACCCAGACCCCCGGAGGATCCGAAAAGTAGATCCCTTCTCGATCCTCCCGCGGGGCTGGGACTAGGCTAACAGGGACGCCTGAAGCAAGGGCAAAGGGAGGGACCCTTAATAAGGACCCCTAGGAATATACCCTTGGTATAGCAATTATATAGCCCATTATAGGGTAGGGGTCCCCATTAAGGGTCCCTCTTCTTCCCCTTTGATCAAGGCAAAGGACTGACACCTAAACCCTAAACCCTCATTAATTCCTGACATCAAATCCGAAACCCCCAAACCCTAAACCGTAAATCCTGACATCAAATCCGAAACCCAAAGCCCTCAACCCTAATACCCTAAACCCTAAACCCGAAACATGGTATGCTTCGGGTTTCGCGGTTTGGGTTCAGGCTTCAGGATTGAAAGTCACACCTGGTAACATGAACCCTTCAGCAAGTAGACCGAAAACCATAACCCTGCGTAAAACCGTAGAAACCCCAAAACTTTGAAATCCATCATCATCACAATCATCACAATCATCATCATCATCATCATCATCATCATGATCCTAGTCCTGTGTCTTCGAAAACAACCCAGGCGCATGTAGCAGCAGAGGAAGAAGGCATTGGCAAGCTGCTGGTGGATGGCGTGGCCATCCCTCAATCTAATGCAGGAGGATGTCGGGTTTGTTTGTGTTGAAGGTGCAGGCTCCTGTAAGGATACAACACGGGGGTAATTGCTGCGATTTCAGGATGTGTGTTCTAGGTTTCGGGTTGCGGGCTTCAGTGCTTTAGGACATAGGGTGTAATGCTTAGGGACAGTTTTCAGATGAGCGTGTGTTGGTTGATATGAGGTTCCCAAGCTCAGCATACGCTTTCTGCCCGAAGCAACAACCGAAACATGGGCATCGCATAGCATGGCCATGTAGCGACGGAACCCTACCTGTGTTCTATGATGTTCGATCGGTGTTCACCTCAATCCTAGACCTTGAACTCTGAACCCTAAACCATACATTCCTAAATCCTGAATCCCAACCCCTAATCCCTATAAAAGTTGTATCGGGCTTTGGGGTTCGCTGCTTGAACTAGGGATTGACTTGGTTTGGGGATTGCAACCTGCACATAAACACATACGTAACGCCTGCGGAGCCCCCCGAAGAAGTTGAGAGGGACGTGCGGCAGGCTGCGCTGTAAGTGCTAGTCGACGCTCGCTCACTCGGTCAAACACTCACACACTCACCCCAATTGGGGAATAAGCTTTTGTGAACAACAGCCGCCAAGCAGCAGCACGAAGCTGGGAATTAAGCAAAACCCAGCAAACACGAACGATATAGAACAAGAGCTCATCAAACGGTATGGTTAGGAGTGCATCAATAGCATGAACAGAAGTAAGAAAAATCCCAAAAGCCTTACACCTGAGAAAATCTACAATCCCTAAACCCGAAAACACTAAACCCTAAAATCCTTAAAGGTGCGTTTGCTGGAACCCGAAAGCCCCCTCCCCCCTCCCCCCCCCCACCAAACAGAAACTCAACAGCCCTGGAATTTAATGGTCTTCTAACACCTTGATTCTCAAAATTTCCCAAACACCCTGAGGGCTCAGGCCTGAGGGCCTTGCCTTAATGATTTCAGTGCAGGGGCCCATGGTCATATTTGTACCACAACGAAGCACCAGAATACTGTTGGTAATTATTCATGCCCTTAATGCAAAAAAATGAGTCGAACCCTAAACCCTAACCCCTTAAAGGCCGCTGTTTCTGGGGCCTGAGATGAGCCCAAGGCTCTCGATCTGGTTCTCCATCTCCAGGAATGTTCCCTGATTCGTAATCGTTGCCTCACTCGGAGGCGGTGCTGGGGTTCCGGGCTTGTCTTGGTGAAGGGTTTAGGGGTTCAGGGTTTTAGGGTTTGGGATATGGGGTTTAGGCTTAGGGCTGTAGGATTAAGAGCTTGGAGCGGCTTGGAGCTTTGGCGATTTCAGGGACTAGGTTTCAAGGTAGAGGCTGTATGGTGGGAAAGTGAAGGTCTCAGCTTTCTGTCAATGGTATCTAGCGGCAGCCGTTTTCCAACCATGAAGCTTTAAATACCAAAACTGGAAAAATTGTACTGCTGGCGGACCTGGATTATCTGTAGTGTGACGTCTCATGGTCTAGGGATACACAACAAGAAAGCCCCATGAACGGTAGTAAGTCTTATTGTTGCTTTCTGCTTCCCTTGATGATGCCTTTGAAGAAAAGCCCTGTTTAAGACCATGATATGAAACTTTCATATGTATGAAAGCCTCCCAAAAACAAAAGACCCGCGAACTTGAAACCTGAACCAAAACGGCCCCACAGCCTGGCGGTTCCGGACCCCAAACCACAAACCCCAAGCCCCCCTATGAGACTCGAAAAACCGATTTCTCGCGCAATCCTCAACCCTAACCCCCTGCATTCGGGACACAAGATCTCACCGTAACGGAAAACGCAGCGTTGGGATATCCCCATAATCTCTACTACAAGTAAGCAAATGAGCCAAACATGTACGTTTCTGGGCTTTTCTGGCTCTTGCTTGTACTACAGAGACCCGAAACCCTGACCGTAAAGCCTATCTCTCCTTCTGCATGGGAAAACCTAGACTCCATCTAACCCCAAACCCGATATTCCCCAAAATTGGGAGCTCTACAGACAGGATGGCTGATATTATACTATAATCACAAGGGGAACAGGAAGCTAAGCTCCTAAACCCTACACCCCAATCTAAAAACTCGAAATACTAAACCCTAACCCCACATTCCCCGAGCTCCAAAACATCAAAAAAAACTGAGGTCCTGACCAGGCCCATCAGGCAGAGAGTGCCAAAAACCAGGAGGGCCTCCGCCAGAAGCACCTGGGCGGTTTAGGGTTTAGGGTTTAGGGTTTGGGGTTTAGGGGCTCTTGCTCAAAGTTTAGGGGTTACACTAGCAGTATACGAAAGGGCTTGATCTTTCTTAAAGGCTCTTTTCCGACCGCATATCCGAGGGCCAACGGAGCCAGGGGTTTTAGGGTTTAGGGGTTGTAGTATACGAAAAGGGTTTGCTCTGCTTTTTGAGCTTCTTTTTCCGACTGCGTCACTGGGACTGAAGAGGCTTACGGCTTGGGCGGGTTTCTGCTCATCCGGGTTTTGGTATGCTGGGTTGCAGGTGTTGTAAACCGGGTGCTCTTTTGCTTTATACTGCATACAAAGTTTTGCTAAGGGCACTACATTCCCTAATAATGCTTGGCTGAAGCCCCTTCTAGTGGTACCTGAGTTCAGCTTCTTTCATAACTCAAACCCAGGCACTGGCAGAGCCAAGACATAGCCCAGCGGGTACTCCCAGAGAACCTCATGAAGGAGCCCAGCCACGGGGCCAAGGAAGAGGATCCAGGTGAGGATGACCCCCAAGGTCCAGATGTAGCTCTCTGGGGGCGTCTCGGTAGTTAGGCTGATCTCCGTGATGTAGGCCCGCTCCACCCTTCCATCTTGCTCACGGTCGCACTTCCCGCTGAGCAGCGCCGTGACCTTGGATGTCTGTATCAAAGCGACCCGTTCGTCTTCATACAAACCGGACCGTCATACAAACCCCAAATAGTACGACAAGGCAGCCCTCAATTCTTAAGGTACCTAGGTCGGGCCTAGGGCCTAGGGCTCTACTATCCACCCCAGCGACATGGCAGAGAAGGATGAGAAGGGCCAGGATCGAAACTGAAAGCGCGGGCCACCACGGCGCCCAGCGAGATCGGAGCACCCGGTGAGGCAGCATGCCACCATTCCGGCTTCGTTTTCTACGTTGAGATAACTGCTTGAAGGGTTGCAGTGGCTTCAGGAAGTGTAGGAGTTTCGAGTTGTAGAACCTCTTGGTCTAGAAGCACTAGACCCGATACTTCAGGGGCTGTAAGCTACCGTTCGTTGTGTTTCGGGCCATGGCTGCGCAATGTAAGAACTGAGCTTAAGAATCTGAGGTCTGCCGGGGAAGCTGAGGTCCGGGAAGTCACCCCTCCACCCCTGCGGACCTGGGCTGTGTCATGGTCTTCGCAGAAACAGTGTCCGAAGCTCCGAACAACAAGAAAAGACAAGCCCAAACGAAGCCCAAACGTCGTTCTCAAGCTCGAAATTCCTAAACCCCAAACTCGAAGCCCACGCCTAAGCCCAAGAACACTAAACTCACTGAAGCCCAGCCCGACATGCCTGAACCATGAAACATAATGGTGGATGTCAAAATTAGGATCCCTTTTACAACCACCCATAAACCCTAAAGTCCTAAAGCCTTAATGCGAGGGCCCAGGCTCAAGAGCCCTGGCCCTTCACAACGACTGAAACCGCCAAACGCCTTCTCTTCAACCCCCTAAACCCTGAATCGTAAACCCCTGATCCTTAACCCTCAAACCCCTTAAAGCCGTAACTCCAAACCCGTCTCTCTGTCTCTCTTTCTCTCTCTCTCTCTCTCTCTCTCTCTCTCTCTCTCTCTCTCTCCCTCCCCTCTCTCTGTCTCTCTCGCTCTCTCTCTGGGTCTCATTTTCAAGATCCCGATGCCCACGGCAGACTCGTCATCAACCTAGACACAGCCTGGGTTTAGGGCAAGGGAATCGTCGAACCCCTCAACTCTTAAATCGACCCTGGACCCTGCGGGCTTTAAGCCCGAAATCCTAAAATCCAACCAACCTGAGACCCTTGGAGAAATCCTTTCATCCCCAAACCCGAAGCCCTTCAGAAAGAAGCCGGCGCAGGCCGCTTTTTGGCAGCTGCGGTCAGGTCCAGGCCAGCCCCGGGCTGAAGGTACACTTAAGGCTCGGAAGCGCCTGCACCCAGCGCTATTGCTGCCACCTATACGATTATGAAATCAAGTACCGGCCAAGTGCTCCGGTCTTGGGATGGTTCAAGAGACGTAACAAACAAGGAGTCTATGTTGTCAAGACTCCGAAAAGGCCATCGCACAGCTTCGTGTGAGCCAGGTCTGGAACGTAAACCCTCCAGCCATTTAGCCCAAATCTGATACGCCTACAACCTAAACCCTAAAACAACCTAAACCCTAAACCCTACACCTTATACCAACCAAGCTTTCGCACCCTTGAACCGCCGACACCAGAAAGCTGCTATGAGGGCTCAGGGCCCGAAGCATTGAATCGATTTCCGCAATTCTCCTTGAGTGTCGCTTTTTGGGGGTTTCGGGTTTAGGGTGCAGGCTTGTGGGTTCAGGGTTTTTTGAACTCCGGGTTCAGGGCTTAGGGTTCAGGCTTTTCGGGTCAGGGTTTAGGGATTATGATTTCCGAACTTCTCCTTGGGCGTCGTGGAGTATCGGATAGCCGTGGTACATGCCGATCTTCTGGATCCACCAGGGGACCTGTTCGACTTGCAATGGGCAGCTTACTAAGGGCCTTACGGCTTGGGTCAACCCGTTCCAGTCTCTTGGTTTGCAAAACACAACTCAAGGCATTAGAGCTGGATCAACAAAGCAACCTGCGCGGTGTGCTGTTCCAACGCAAGGGCTCGAGGGTTTCGGGTTTCGAGTTTCGTGTCAAGGCTAGGTTGCGGAACCATACCATACCCTTAAACTCTGAACTCCCAAGCTGGCCCGCCGTAAGACCCTCTTTCCCTTACAGTCCCGAACTGCTTAGGTTTCAATCCAAGGGGGTTGGATAGGGCTTGAGGGTTTAGGGAAAGCTTAGGGCTTATTGTTCAATGTTGAGGTTTAGGGATGAGGGTACCTCAGCTGAGAATTTCGCAGCCTCAGCTGCCCACCCTTCATTCCCGGGCTCTCAACTCTACAACAAATGGCCATGGGACTTTCATAGACAAGCGGACCCATACCCAAAACCGGCAGGAACCAGTAGCAGAACAGGCCCAAGGACAACAGCAGCACTATAAAACAGCGCCTTGATACTAAGTACGTAAGGAGCGCAGAGACGAGAATGCAGAGACTGGAGCAAAGGACACGAGGTCATGCTAAGACTGCAAAGAGAACATGATGCAGAGCAGACAGACAAGACTCAAGGGATAAAAACTAAAGACCAGCAGTGCTATCTATCTGACCTGCTACAAGCTCTCAAAGACTCCTACCAAGATGCTATCATCTTCGGAAACCAAGGAGTAGGAGAAGGGTTCCTGTATGTGCAGGAGCAGTGGCAGTAGCGATAGCAGCAGTAGAGGAGTAGGAGCAGGAGTGGGAGTAGGAGTAGCAATAGGAGTAGGAGTAGAGGAGGAGGAGGAGGAGTAGGAGTAGGAGCAGGAGCAGGAGCAGGAGAAGGGGGAGTAGGAGGAGGAGTAGGAGTCGGAAGCAGGAGTGGAGTAGGAGTAAGGGATAGGAGTACGGGTCGGAGTACAGGGGTAGGAGTGCAAGTAGGAGTAGGAGTAGAAGTAGGAGCAGGAGCAGAAGTAGTCGTCGTCGTAGTCGTATTCCCAACGGCAGCGGCAGTGGCAATGGTTGTTGTCGTAGTAGTCGCAGTAGTCGTAGTAGTCGTAGCAATCGTAGTCGTCGTAGCAGTAGCAGTAGTAGTAGCAGTTTCACTAGCAGTAACAGCAGTAGTAGTTTGTAGTAGTACTAGTAGTAGTAGTAGTAGTAGTAGTAGTAGTAGTAGTAGTAGTAGTAGTAGTAGTAGTAGTCGTAGTAGTAGCAGTAGTAGTAGCAGTAGGAGTAGTAGTAGTAGTAGTAGTAGTAGTAGTAGTAGTAGTAGTAGTAGTAGTAGTAGACGACACCTCCAGAATCCTACAAGCTCTTCCCTGTAATGTATCCCGACCGAGGCACAGGTTTAGGGTTTGCAGCATTTAGAGGTTTAGGTTTTTGGCTGTCGGGTTTAGGGCTTTGGGCTTGCGGCTTTAAAGAGATTTGGGTTCAGGGAGGAGGTTTCCGGCAACAAGTCTCCACCGAGGCACGTCCAAATGGTAGGGAAGGTCTGTTGGTTTGCAATCGGCACGGGTGCCATTCGGAAAGGAGACGTCGCACCCGACAATCGCTCCCTCAGCCACCTACGCAAAACATGGCCGAGCCCGTCGCACGAGGATTCAGGGTCCAGGGCTTCAGGGCGGGGTTTAGGGATTCAGGGATACTAGAGTTTTGGTGTTTGGTGGCCTCGATACCCCCGAAAGAAACCCCAAAGTGAGAGTACGCCAATCGATCCACGATATCTATTCTTCACCGGCTGATGTCTTGAAGAATAATTGCGTCGTGCCCGCCATTCAGAGATCAGGATGTAGCGTGTTCCGTTGCCTGCTAGGGAATCCTTGCACTGATAATACGACGGGGGTGTTGGGCTATCGTGCAACTGGTTTCGGGAACTCTACCGTACAAAGCCCAAACCCTAAACCCCTAACCCTGATCTTCGTGCTCTACAATCATTGGGTCCTCGGTTTAGGGTTTAGAGGTTGAGGGCTTTAGGCATTTAGGGTTACGGCTCAGGCGTTAAAGGGTTACTATAAGGGATTGGTGTAGGGGCCTTAATGATTACAATGAGGCTTACAGTGATTTCTCCGACGCCCAGAGCTTTCAGCGAGTCCTCGGATCTACTTTAATGCCGGACATGTAAAGTTTAAGCCGAAGAGGTTTCTGGCTGCTTGCAAAGATAAGCCGTCCGTGACTGCGCCCCAGGCCGCTTTAACTCTGACCCTCCAAATTCAACGCAACACCATGTGCAAGTAAAGGTTTAGAGTGTAGGGTTTAAGTGTGACAAAAAACAGTCCTGCCTCCAAGAGCACACGCCTCGCATAGGCTGTGGCACGCCAAACCTCGTCCCCCGCAGTGCCAGGAAGATGCGAGTAGGTCACCTTGCCAGGTGCCGCCCTCTAGCGTGTAACATAGCGGCCATAAGGGCTAGAGCAAGGATTTGGAGGATTCTGTTTTGCAGCTGCGTCGCTGAATTCAGGAACCTTAAGAATCGTCGTAGATATTCAAGCCTCGCACTTACTCATTTCCACGCCTACGGTTTTGCACAGAATTTAGTGTTGCGACTTCAGAGCTTCCATAAACTCCAACGTCCCCGAAAACCACGAACAAATCGCAAGAACTCTAAACCCCGCATATCCAGGGGCCTTTGGAATCAGAACAGGGTTTTGGGGCCCATTATACTATACTTAAGGAAACCCCGAAAGAGCACAGGTATTCATTCCGGCCCCTATAGTATAGTACCCTTACAGATTTCTTTATAGCAACCCTTGTAGACCCCTTAAAGGAACCCTACTCTAATTATTAAGCTGAAGCAAATAAAGTTGTAACTCCATTGTCCGGTCGCTGCAAAGGATCGGTCCTTCTGGATCGCTTCCTTGAGCCTTGGCTGATCTTCGGAGTCTCCTTTTTTAGAGTTTCGGATTCAGGGTTTAGAGAATAGGGTTTAGGGTTTTTCGGCATTTCGCGAAGACTTCAATAGAGGTCGCAAACACTCTGAAGCCCTCGACTAAGCCCAAACCCCTCAAGTAGCCCTTGAACCCCTCAACTTAATGCTAAAAGCTATTAGAAAACACGAGCCCGAACACTTCAGCCTCAAAACCACTAAGCCTGAAGGCCAAACTCAATCCGCTTATCGATCCCTTTCAGACTGCTTTATAGACTAATGAGCACTTTGCAACCCCTTTTACGACCCGTTTAGTTATCAGTGGTGCTGTCACCAGCGCCCAAAGGTTATGGGACGGGCATGCCACTTACACAACGCAGGAAAAGCCCGGACTCCGATTGTGTCCGCGTTATTAAGTTGACAAGCCGACCGATCACCCCCCAAAGCCTCGACCCGAAACCCAAAGCCTCAAAAGCCAAAGTTCAGACGCTTCCACTCCACCGCTGGCGTGGTGTACTGCAGGAGCTTTCCGTGCGGCGGTGGTGGAACGAACCCTTTCTCTCGGAGACCTCGGCACTTGCTTGTTTCGGTTTCGGATTGAGGGCTTGAAAGGCGCTGTAGCTGGAGGTTGAAGGGATGCAGAAGATGAAGAGTGAAGGGCGGCTAAGGCAGGTCTCTCGGAGGTCTGATGGGAAAATTCGGCAGTTTCGGTGCCATGCCTTAATCTGGGGAGCCTTTGAGGTTCCACTGATTGGGATGCAAAAAACAGGTTACTTTCACCAAAGTGTCTGCTCTGGCAAATTAGTTTGGGAATAATTCAATCGCAAGGAACCCTAGGCAAACAATCTGATTATTAGCACTGACATCCTAAACACCACAACCATGAACCTTAAGACGTTCAGAACAAGCTCCGATTCCACAGAAGAATCCATGCAGGCGAAGCAACCCAAGATGCGGTTGGCACCTGAATTCAGGAAGACGGGCCTGAGGCACAAGTGCGATATGTTTCGGGCTCAGGGTTTGTTGTGTATGGCATGGATTTGATACGCTTCAAAACATGACATATAATGCAGTATAACATACTACAACACTTTGTTTTCGACTAGGTTATAGTATAAGATACTATAGTAGAATATGGTAAGCTGAACCGACACGTTACACTATCATGTGCTGCGACATACTACAGTATGTTGCTTGCTATCGTATACTACAACTTACTATGATGTACTACAAACTATCAGTGCTCATAACAACCCGATGAGAAGACTCTTTCAACAATCCAGCATACTCAAAACGCTCTACTAAGTCTTAGAGTATGCCTTGCGATCCTCAACCGAAACTGGAAATGCCGGAATAAAAACTCGCAACCTTACGCCCCAGCCGTAAACCCTAAATCATCCTAAACCCTAACCCACGCCAGAAAATAACCCTCTGTTTAGGCTACTAATCGGCTGATTCAGTTGAGAAGTAAGAAGATCTTCTACCGCCCAAGGACGTGTGTTGTCAGTCTCTTCCAAACACAGAAACATCAGAGGGCTTCGGGCTAATTCACGGTTTCGGAGTCGGGTCTTGGGATCAGAGTTTGGGGTTTAGAATCTAGGGCTCTCTACTAAACCCTTGACAGACGGCCAAACAAAACCAAAATCTTCAAGAAGCGCCGGTACACAATCCTTGAGCAGTAAAGATCAAGAACCACCAGAAAACACTGTACAAGCTCCTACGCAAAATCCTGCGGAGAAACCACACCCCTGAAGCCAAAACCTCAACCCGAAGCCGGAACCCCAAGCTTGGGACCTGGGGGATCCCAAGACCTCCAGCAGATCGGGGGCTGCGCTGGGCTGAAGGACGTGCGTCAGGTCGCAGGGATAGATGGTCCTTGGGCTTCAAGGGTTTAGTTAGGGTATAAATATATCATAGGGATCCTTAGGGGTGTAGGGGGAGGGGGGGTAGGGGGCCTTAAGGCCCATAATAAGGACTCATAAGGCCTATTTAAGGAAATATAGTCCCCTACACCCCTCCCCCCTACACCCCTAAGGATCCCTATGAATATATGAAGAGTCTAGCGTTTTAAAGGGTTTAGGGTGTAGGGCTTAGTTGGGGTTTAGGGTTTAAGGTTGCGAGGTTAGGATCTCGGTTTGGGGTCTGAGGGTTAGGAATCAGGGCTCTGGAGTTTTGAGTAATAGGCGGTCCTTGCAGCTCCTGGGGACCGCCTTGCGGGTTCCTTTAAGAGTTCTATATAAGAGATAGTCCTTGGAGTTATTAGACTAGACCTTGGCTTCGGAATCGGTTTAGTTTCGGATTTACCAGCAATTCCACGTCCAGGGATATGGAGCTTGGGTTTGGTTCTTTCGTTGTGCTGAGAAGGTTCAGTTTAGAGTGCGGGATTTGGCGGTTTAGGGTTTGTGGATTTCGGACTTGCAGTTCGTAGGTCAAGGGTGGAGGGGTTGATCGTGTTCTGACAGCAGTCGCGTCCATGCGCACAGAAAGCGTCATGCGGGATCTGCGGCCATTACCGCCACAACACCTCCACTGTTCATATGACCGCTGCTTTGGGTTGATCTTCTGACGTTTACTAGTATTGATGCGCGTGCAGTGCTGATCGCATGGTTGGCACCAACAACTGTGCTACTACGCAGGCTTGTTATGCACAGGTACTGCCGCTGTTTTGCAAGGAATGAAAGCGCGGCATACTGCAGTGTGGGCACTGAGCCGATGGTCGCCATTGCTGTCGTTCCTGTCGTTCGTGTTACAAGTCTTGTCCTGCTTAGTACTGTGAACCTCCAGCGTCTTGTTTAGGGTTTAGGGCTCCCCTCCTTCAGCCAAGAACCATCAGAAGAATGCACCATCATACGATGCCATGCCCCATATTATCAATATACTACAATATCTTCAATCTACTACAATATCTTGAAGATATGATACAGTACACCCAAATCATTGTCCCCTGAAAAGACTCAACAGTACCATAGCATCCCGGGGTGCTGGAGCCAGCTCGAGGTCGTGGTCTCCATGCGAATCACGCCCCCTCCGTAGGGATGGGAGTCCCCTGCCTCAAGCAATGCAATCATTTCAGGGTTTAAGGGTTGGGGTGTAGGGTTTAGGGATTAGGGGCAAGGGTTTAAGGTTTAAGGTTTAAGGTTTAAAGGCTTAAGGCCTTAGGGGTTCGGGGGTTTAAGGCTTTAGCGTAGACGACTTTAAGTGGTCTTTCAAGGCTTGCAGCTTAAGGCGCAAGGGCCAAAGATCAAAAACTTGGGGTTTAGGGTGTGATGGCTCGGGACAAGCATGTCGGGCGACGTCTACTGGACCATGTAACTTACACAAACCATTGGAGCTTGTTTTTTACTAGTAGTAGTAGTAGTAGTAGTAGTAGTAGTAGTAGTACTAGTACTAGTACTAGTACTAGTACTAGTACTAGAGTACTAGTACTAGTAGTACTAGTACTAGTACTAGTACTAGTACTAGCTAGTACTAGTAGTAGCAGTAGCAGTAGTAGTACTAGTAGCAGCAGTAGTAGCAGTAGCAGTAGTAGTACTAGTAGCAGTAGCAGTAGCAGTAGTAGTACTAGTAGCAGCAGTAGTAGCAGTAGTAGTAGTAGTAGTAGTAGTAGTAGTATTAGTAGTAGTACTAGTACTAGTACTAGTACTACTAGTACTACTACTACTACTACTACTACTACTACTACTACTACTACTACTACTACTACTACTACTACTACTACTACTACTACTATACTACTACTACTACTACTACTACTACTACTACTACTACTACTACTACTACTACTACTACTACTAGTACTAGTACTAGTACTAGTACTAGTACTAGTACTAGTACTAGTAGTAGCAGTAGCAGTAGCAGTAGCAGTAGCAGTAGCAGTAGTAGTAGTAGTAGTAGTAGTAGTAGTAGTAGTAGTAGTAGTAGTAGTTCGTAGACTATCGTATGTTGACATATACTATTGTATACTATAGTATATTAGTTATCGTAGATTCTAGTATAGTATAAGATGTTTTGATAGACTACAGTATATTATGTTACATGATCTTATTCTAGTCAGAATATTGTAGTATGAGACACTGTCGCAGCCCAACGCCCGAAACCCAATATGTCAGCCCCGAACCTGAGTGAGTGGCTCATGGCTTCTACCCTAAGCCCTACACTCTTCAAAGTCTCAACTCCAAAGCCTAACCCTAAGTTGCCAGCTGGGAATCGCGAGGTTAGGTGAGCGCTATGGAGGTTCAGCATGGCAGGGCGCATCGACGGAGTTTCTTGATGCTCCGAAACACACGTATTCGGAGGGCTTTGGATAGTTTTGAAGCCACCCTGAACCTAAACCTGACTGGTTCATGTATAACAGCAATGAAAGTAACTTTTGTGAGAACAGTAAAACCCTGTCAACCGCCAACCCTCAGCCCTTGTCAACCTATATATCCGCTCAGAAAAACTCTTAGCGGCAGCCTTGCAAAACCCAGATAAACCCACATACACCACTACAACTACAAAGCTCACATGAACCCGCATGCAGCTCAAACCACTAATCCTCAAAGGAACCCTGTCCCCCCTAACCCTCGAACCCCAAACCCTTAAAGGAATCCTCAGCGGAGCCTCTCCAAACCATTTGAAGAGTAGACCCGTGGGAAGCAGCAGGTGGTTGGAGCCTCCGTGAATCCTCGTGGCCCAAGCATTTTGTAGGGTCGAGGGTTCCACATTGGCAAGGTTCGTGAACGGCTTATAGGACTATAGGGTTTGTAGATTCTCAAACCTTCTTCGCTTGGTGCATTTAGAGTTCTTCAGGGTTGTTAGGGTTTAAGCTGTTCAGTGCTGAGGGGCTTACAGTTTTCAGGGGGGTGTTCTACATCACGTCGTAACTTTGTTTGGGCTTGATTATTGTCTTATCTGGAACTGCCTGCTTGCAGCGGTCCAATACCAGAGTGTTGTGCATTCCTTTCATCATCCTACATGTTGCAACAATGCGGATTCAATCTCTGACCAATGCAGCGGAGTCCGCTTAGACACGAGGGATTCCAGATTTTATGCAGTTTAGCGACTGGTAAAACTGTTCCAAATCATCCTAGCATCTTCAGATTCGCGAACATGTTCGGAGTTGCTTCTTCCATAACGCCGAGCATGATCGTCCCAAAAGAGTACGCCCACGCGAAAATGGTGGCCAAGTAAGTCCACCAGGGGCGCCTTCTTGAGAGCGTGCATGGCGACGTCGCCTTTGCTCCTGTCTCCACGAACACGACGAGATGCATGAAAAGGAAGAGTGGGATGAAGACCAAGAAGCCCCAATTCAGCGGAGTAAAACCCGCTTGGATGCCGCATGCCACCGCCACAATCCCCAGAGCTGAAAAGACAAAAGCATAGGAGCCGATCTTCATCGATGCAGCACGCAATGCTGACGGGTCCAACACGATTGTAAGCCGAGAAGCGCACTGCACTGCGAACAAGGAGATATTGTTCGGTTCAGGAGTAAGGCACACCCACAAATGGAAGCACAGGATGTAGAGAAGACCCAGCCGTGCACATCGCCTATCCAAACGACCCAGCAAGAAGACCAATCCCATTGAGACTTCGACTGCTACTCCTCCCAATGGCACCCAAGGCAGCACTGACCTCCCAAGCTCCACCTGAGACTCCCACGACAGAGTCCCAAAGTATCGGGTGACGTGCTGGGAAAAAAACACCCCCGCGCAGCTGGCCATTGGATCCAGAAAGTCGGCGTTGAGCTTCCAGAAGCCGGCAGCCAGATAGTAGGCCTCAAATCATAAACGGGTCCTATGGGCTCTGTCGGGCTTCATGGAACAAGGGTTACGGAAGACAACTTCAAGCATGTGCCTTAAATAACCTTCGTTCCTTATGGTGTTGACGTTAAGAAAGCTCCCATACGAAAGCCCAGCAGCAGAAAACATCTCATGAATGGTGCTGCTCAAGCTGTCGACGGCGCCTTCGGCGCCTCCGGCACCATAAAGCAGCAGCCACAAGGCCAGGGTTAAGTCAACCTGAACAGTCCAAAGATCACTCTCCCAGGTATACGGCATCATGCTCACCTCAGTTGGGCAGGTCCCGGGGGGTCCCCGAAGTATTCATGTGCTAGGCGCCTCGGCAGAACCTGACGGGAAACGTGAAAAGCTTGCAAAAGTAAAACTGCCACCAAGGTACCCAATAGCATGGATAGCCGAGAAAAGGAACCGCCATAGCCAGCGGTAGCCAATTGGACCCGGCTCCCGCGGACTTGCTCGAAGATTCGAGCCATATCAACACAAGAATGCTCCAAAGGACTGTGAACACCAGAAGCCACGACCAATCTTGGAAAATGAAAGCCTGCATCGCACCACACACGGTTGTCAGCCTGAGGTATGTTCGTATCCGAGGATCGGTCTCCATGGCAGCAACCCACCGCTTAAAGCAGAAGCGAATCTGCTCTGGGCTTGCTTGGTTGCTCGGTAGTGACAAAGCCCGGCTGCGGATGCATCACGAAGAGTTGAGCGATGACATCTGCATCATTCCAGAATTTCCTCTGCATGCAGCAACAAACTGTACGACTTTCTCTTTGTTGAACCTCACGAGCACGGAGACAAACTGCTGCGACTTCTTGTTTGAGGATGGGCCCCACCCCCTTTGACAAAGGGGGGCTTAAGCCCCCCTTTAAGCCCCCCCTTTAAGCCCCCTTAAAGCCCCCTTTGTCGAGGCTGTTGAGGATCAGGTACTCCATGAACTGTCTGCAGGCTGACAAGTACGTCTCCAGTGTGCCTGCGGTAAAGGGCAGTATACTCTGTGTAAGCAGCTGCTGCGAATACTTGGCCTCTTGAAGGCTGCGGTAGAGGTCCGCCGAGTCCCCGAGGCGCCATAGCAGCTCCTTCCACTGTTCAAGTGCCTTGGCTTTTCTGGAAGCCTCTTGGCCTTTTCTTGTAACCTGAGTAGGCCTACCAGCCTACCATCGGCTTGCGCGGGCGGCATCATATCAGGTAGGCGTGGCTGCCGAACCGAGGTTGGTGCTGATGCTGGCTTCGAGGGCAGGTCTTGAACCTGGGCCCCCGTGGCGGGTGCAGGGTAGGCTGTGGCCGTGGCGGAGCCACGTATCGGAGGCTTCTTGGCGGTGGGCGTAGAAAAGGCTGGCTGACAGGATGGCTGGCTCCCAGAAGGCTGTGCCAGCTGGGTTGAGGCCCCGGCGGTTGGTTGAGGCCACCTTTGCTGAGGGCAGGCGGAAACCGAGGGCGCATCGGCAGTCCTGGAGGCAGGGTCAATCGCATGGACCGAGGTCTGATAAGGCTGTGGACTGAGAAGGGCGGGGCCGGGCGTACTCCCGGCGGCAAGGCCGGCGGGGAAAACCTGGGTGCGCTTTGGGCACCGACTGCAGGGGCAGAAGCCCGGGGGCGTCGGTTCCTGGCGGTATAGGGCTCACTGTTGAAGCGAAGGCAGCAGAGTCTTTGCGAAACCTCCTCACCACTGTGGCTCTGTCCTGCCGCGAGGACAAAGGGCTCTCCCGGCTGGGGCTCCTGCTTCGACCTGGCTGAGAAATCGTTGGCTGGTCGTCGTTCGGGTGGAGAAGGCCAGAGAGCACCCAGAGTGGAGCAGGTAGGGACCTGCCTGTGCGCTGAGCATCGCTGTGAAGGCTGTTGACCGGGCTCCATGATTCGAGACCGCTAATGTCTTCCTGATCTGTGTCTGGATCCATAGTTGGCTGACGAATTGCATTGAAGGCAAAAGGCAAAAGCAAAGAGGGCGAACGGCTGGGCTCGCTGCTCCAAGGCTGGGCAGGTCCTGCAGGTCAAGGCGTGACAGCAGTAATAAGGTCCTAGGTTTGTGTGGTGGACGTTGGGCCTGTGGCTGGGGGAAGGCCATTTATTAAATATGCAAATAAATGGAAATGGAATGCAAACGAAAAATGGACCCCTGGATTTCGGCATGCAGAAATAATGCAATAATGATGCAATTCAAATGGAGCCAGGATATCCATATAATAATAATAATAATAAGAACAATATTAATATTGTTATATTGGTATTAATACAGCTATTAAGCTATTAATACTAATATATATATATATATATATATATCTATCTAGTATTAGTATTGTATACATATTAATGTGAATACTGTTAATACTAATAACACTTGTATTAGCTATTTTCATACTGACAATTTCGATATTTAATCTCATAGAATCAAACATAACAATACAAAGATCGCTAATCTTGTTAGCACGGTTATAACCCAAAATAACCCTATGTACACGTAGATTGCTATTACGATCTGTAATAACATTCTGATTTTAACATATATATTACTACCAATACATACAGCAATAAGAATGTCACTATTCTTCATATTCATATTGCTCCCAATGCTCACGTTGATGATGCACACCGACCTCAATACAGTACTTTTTGAGAAGTGAAACTAATTCCTTAAAGAAAAAATCACATACAACTATCTGCATAGTTACAAGTTACTATTTTATTGTATTCATATTTCTATATATTTAGGGCATCTAGGGAATCTAGGGTTTATTGTATCGATCATGTCGGTTGTTGTTCATCGTATGTCTACGTCTTTATTATGTTATTATTACTAGATTAAGATACTGAGTACACTATAAATCTATCTATCTCTATCTATATCCTTCCTGACATCGATGTGGGACAGAAGTGTTAAAGACCAATCAGCGCACCTCAGCCTTAGCTGTTAGCTGCTGGCTGCCTGTTGTAGCCTTAGTGACTTAGTGCCTTAGTGACTTAGCGTGAGTATGTGAATATGTCTGCATTGCATGCCACTGTCGACGCTCAGAGATGCATAGCTGCCTGTTACCATAACTATGGCTAACTATGGGGGGGTTGCCTCTTTGATTACTGCACACAATGGCTGAAAGACCTGACATGATCTTTTGAATTCTGTCACCTTTAGCTGCTTTATAGCACTGTAGCAGCAAGGCACTGGCCAAGTACACACAGATTGTCACTCAAAATGTTGACGCACCAAAGTTTTGCAGCCTCGCAGAAGTGCACGTTTTCGGATGGACTCCGTTCGGCCCCGCATGACTAGCTGGCACCGCGGAGGAGTGCACACACAAGCCAGCAGCTATGCCATGCAGTTATTCGTTGAGTATGTGTCGAGAAATCTAATCAAGTCTAGAGTCGTCTATTTTCTATAGTCTAGAATGTCTAGAATGTAGGAATCTAGGAATCTCGGATGCAGAATCTACAATCTAGAATCTAGAACCTGGCATCTGGAATGGGGGCCCTCGGAGACTGTCTGTCCTGAAATACGTTAGCTGCTAGCTGCTAGCTAGCGGCTGCTAACTGCTGCTAGCGGCTAGCGGGGTAGCGGCTTAGCCGAGCGGCTACGGCTACAGCTACGGTGACGGCTAAGGCGGTTATGTGCGTGGCTCAGGCCTCGGGCCTGAAGCTTAGGGCTTAAGGCTTAAGGCTTAGGGCCTAGGGCCTACCTAGGGACCTAGAGACCTAGAGCCTAGGTCTAGGACTACGGTGCCCCCTACATTACATTCCTACATTGGGCCTACATTACAGTTACACTGACCAGCTGAAGTTACAAGTGTGGTGCCTGGTGGCGTATGCAGCGGCATATGCTGACCTGCGGACTGTGCGTGAAAATTTTCCCAGGCTCGCTTCCTAAGTGCGCTGAGCTGTTGCTCATGGCATTGCCGGACAGGCTTACCACTCCAGGCACACACCAATCATTGGTTGGACTCTGGACTCTAGGACTCTAATTAGTGATAATTAGTGACTCTAGTGAACACTAGTGACTATCTGGTAGCAGCTAGCAGCTAATCAATAATGACACTATTGTCACTAAAGACACTACTGACTGGCGACTTTTCTAGATTCTAGCTGCTACCTTCTGCCAATTATGTCAATTATGTAACAGCCAACTAGCAGAGCAACTTTGCTGTCACACACACGGAGTAATCATGAACAGCTGACACCACAGCACAAGTACGAGCACAGATCACACAAGACTGACAGTCACAAGTCACTCGTCAATGGCATTACTAGCACCTTCAACAAGTCACTATAGTACACTATAATTAGCTATAATTACTAAAGTCAATAGCAGCTCAATAGCAGCCCATAATAGCAATCACTAGCAGGCAGTAGCCGTAGCACCGAATACTGACATACAAAACTGTGATGATGCAGATCTGGAACATCACAGGCCCTAAGCCCTAGGCCTAAGCCCTAAGCCCTAAACCTGTAATACATCATTAAAAACTGAAGAGAATAGAATCTCTAACCCTGTATGTCTGTATTTGCCACGGTGTTGCCACAGAGCCGTAAATATCCTGACCTGATCAGCAACTCAGCACACAACAGCAGCCTTTACTTCAAAAAGCGGTAGCGGCCGGTAGCGGCACCTGCTGACATGAGCTCAGCTGCATAGCAAACTACTTGCTACGGTATTGCGCGCGATTTACTTTACTGCGTTACCTAGGATTGCCTGCTCTGCTAGTGTGTTACACTATGCAATCACGAAGACTATATTAAGCCACTAGTAACTTATCAGCGCTAGAGTCACTAGAGTGACCAGGTTCGAGCTGTAGACACCATTTGGTTTTTCTCTTTCGTCCAGAATATTACATGTCGTTTCCTCGTTTCCTTGTATAGGCCTGTTAAATATGGTACTAAATTACTAAGTACACTGATACTCTGATACTCATGACATGGTTTACACATTTTGGGTTTGGGGCCTCGGCCTAGGGCCTAAGCCTAAGCAGTTCAAGCCGAAATTCAAGCTGAGTCCTGCAGCAAGCACACTAGGCATGCTTGACATGTTTGCTACCGGTGGAATCACTCATTCAAGAAGGCTTTGGCCTTCTCGATCAGAATAGGAAGAATTTCAGACTCCGCATTTCGGGCCTGAATCTCAGTCATCTGCTGTCGGATGATTTCAGCGGCCGACCCTTTCAACTTGGGATTGGTAACACACGTGAAAAGGATCTGCTCCGTAAGCACATTTGCAAGCAGCCGCAGCTCCTGTGCAAGCTTTGCACTCGCCTGCTGCAACGTGTCCACCTCCGCCAGCTTGAAGAAGCTGTAGGACTTCACAATCCCATTCGCATTGTTGTGGATCTCACAGCACAGCACATGGAAGCAACTACATAATTGAATTGAGTAAACAGACTGTGCAATGGATGCCGTTTCAACTTCTTACTCTTAGCAGTCTTAGTGCCTTAGTGGCCTTAGTGACTTAGCAGCTTAGCAGTGGTGCAGTGTAGTGTAGTGTAGCAGTAGCACTCAGTAGCAGCATGTGGCAATATGTAAGGATGCAATGTAAGTGTAAGCCTTTGAAAACCGAAGTCGAAGTTCGGATAGATAGGGCAGGTTTTGCAGTGCGACAGGTTGTGCTTTGAATCGAGAGCTCCAGACTATGGCTATGGACTCTAGACTCTAGACTCTAGGCAAAGCCTCTTTTATTCACTATTCAGCACTAGTCACTATTCACTATTCACTATATTCACGCTTGGACTCATGGAGGTCTTCTCACAAGTTCATCCGAAAGGTTGCAACTCAACCAATGTTCAATGTTGATATATTGATGTGGTAATGCTCGGCTAAGCCTGCCAAGCTGCCAAGCCTGCTGAGCCTGAGTCTAAGCCTGCTTAGGGCTTAGGTGCTAAGCCTTCTTAGCGACTAAGTCACTAAGCTAAGCTAAACCACCGCTAAGCAAAGCAAGCCGGCACAACACTTTGCAACAGAGTCCCGCCTTCTTTCCGTCGTCCAGAGCCTTCCGAAGGCCGTTTCCACTGAGCCCTTGAAGAGTCTTCTCCAACAGCTTGGTGACCTCGCCAAAGTCATCCGGGTTCTCCAGATCATTCTTCCACAGCTTATCCGAATGCCACTTCTTCGCGACATTGTTGATCACGGTGAAGTGGTTGCCGACTGTGGTGGTGGCAAACTCCTCTGCAAGCTTGCTGATCCTGTCTCGCAGCCCCTTGTCCTCGCAGAGGCTGTCGAAGTTCGTGGAAAGGCCACTGGTCAGCAAGCTTGCCAGAACGTCATTTTCACCATCCACAGCCTGCTCAGCAGCTGGCTCAGCATCATCAGCGGGGTTCTCCATGATAGCACACTTGCTCTTCAGGCTACCGATGCCTTTCACAGACTTCGCACATCTTTCGAGAATGTCTGTTTGGACCCCATGCTCAGCCGCATCTTCGGCCGCAGGCTGCTTCAAGGCTCGGAGATCGTTCACCAACATACATCCGAAGAAGGTCAAGTCGAGGAGGTTGATCAAGTAATCGAAGTGCTTCGGCGGGAGCGACTTCTGAATCTCCCTGACCAGCAGCTTCATGCACTGCCAGCGAGATTTGAAAGTTGCCTGGGGGATCTTTTCATCCAGAACCTGGCCGGAGTGCGTGGGATGACAAAATCCAACAGAACATGACCCTAAAGTCCCAAAGCCCTAAACTTCTAAAGTCTAAAGTCCTAAAACCCTTATAAGTCTTAAGGTCCGAAACTCAACTGACAGTACATCGTCATACATAGTAGTACTTAGTACTTGTTGTACTTTCATCAAAGCATACACAACAATGTGAACCCTTGCCCCTACGTGTATGGCAAATGGCAAGAAGGGCAGCAGCAGCAGCAGCGGCAACAGCCACATCACGGCAAACGGCAAACACTGGTAGCAGGTAGCAGCATGAGCATGTGGATTGGTAGCAATACAATCTGTACAAGCTATGCCCACTGCATTACCGACACTGCCATGTGGACGACCTGGACCTAGACGAAAATTCAAAAGTTCTTCCAATGAAAGCAGCACTTCAAGAATGCAACAGCAGACGCAAGAGATAGGCAGCTGGCTCACAAGTCGTAAGTCTTAAGTTCTATGTTGCGGGTCCTGGGTTAAGACATTGGAACTTGGCAGAAAGTGCCTTTCACCTGGCCTAATCACAGGCTCGGCTGTCAGCAATGCACCGGACTTACGGCCCACGGCCCTACCACTAATAACACTAATACCACCACCACCAAAGCATGTAGATGTAGACCTGCTAGCCACTGCTAGCTAGCTGCTAGCCTGCTAAAAGGTTTTTGTCTGCAATCTAGGAGTCTAGTCACTAGAATTTAGAATAAAGAATCTACGAATCTACTATTACTACAAGCTACAATGACAATGGTACAAATCTACTCAGTCTACTCAGCCACTTACTGAACTCAGTACTCCGGTTACAATGACGACTACGACTACGACTACGACCTTACGACATACAAGTGAGTCTACGACTCTACAAGGACTTTATTTTACTAAACTCAAGCTCTGCGACTCTACGACTCTACACTGTCACTACAATCACTGCAATACTCAAGCACTCTGCGAATGTATTCCAATGTCAAGGCTGATTGGCAGTGATCTTGACTGCCCGGCCCCTGCCTCCTGCTTCGCACACGCAAGCATCTGGGGCAGGAGGCCGACGAGCTGCTTGCCCATCTCCGCTGTCGTGTCCTGCCGCTCCTTGCTCAAGATCTTTGTCACAAAGGAAGCAAGGTCGCCCAAGGTCTTCGTCTCGATGTTGCGCAGGATGTCCTCGATTTCACTGGCGACCATGAAGTCTGTATGCCCTGCCTGCCACTTCCTGACTCGTGCCAGAAGGTCAAGGACACCTTCCTTGCTGTCAAACAGCGGCAGGCCCTGCATGACGACGGTGATGCGCTCGCCGTCACCGCTCTGTGGGCTCTGCTGGTTCACGATCTTGATCGCCAAGTCCTTCAGGCACTTCTGCACATTGTGCTCGATGGACTCGAGCGATCCTCTTCGCACCGTCTTTCGCAGCTGCGGCAGCTCGGCGACGATCGTCAAGAGGTCGGAGGTTGCAATCTCCGGCCCTTTGGCCATTGTTCGAAGATCTGAAATCCGACTTGCAGCCAACTTCGTTGCCGTGGCCGTCTGGAGAATATTATCCACGATGTTATTCCAGAATGCACCGGAGGATAAGGAGCTCTTCAGTGTGTGCTCGAAGCTGAGGTCGCCCTTGTAGCTACGCACGGCCGCAAGGTCTTGGAAGCTCCGCTCCGTGTCCTCCGGGTCCAGCAACATGCAGAAGGCCTGGGCTGCGACCTGCATGCGCTTCAAGATTGAATCCCAGCCCATGCCGCGCGCGGCCTTGGCTGTGTCGGATGCCAACTCTTGAAGCAAAGCCTGCGAAAACTTCAAGATCTTCTTCCACTGTGTGCTACCTTCCATCACCAGCTTGAAGAAGGCATCGCAGCCGAAAGCATCCATGATGGCCTCCTGCATTTCCTGTCGAATCTAGAATCTAGAACCTAGGGACCTAGGACCTAGAATCTAGAGTCTAGGAAGTCTAGGAGTGTAGGACAGGAGTCCAGGAAATCTCATCCCAAATCTAAAAAAGTTAAACTCTAAACTTTAAACTTAAACTGCAACCTTAAACAAATCTGGAATCGAAATCTCGGGCTCACCATTTCACATGACATAATTTGTCTGCGGCCTGTGGGATCTGGCCTCTACTCTAGATTCTAGATTCGACATTCTTCACTATAGTAACTATAGTATCACTATAGTCACTATAGTCACTGCTCACTAGAGTCACTAGATTCACTAGATTCACTAGATGCTAAACTGTGGAGTTCGAGAGGATTCTAGACTGTAGCTGTAGCTCCAAATGCTTTTCTCATTGACTGCCAGTCTGCTGGCTGCTGCTAATGCTAATGATTGCTGCTGCTACAAGGCAACCTACAGAATCGAGCAAGGGCGATTTTTTGTAAAATTCTGGCCGCTGTATTCGCTATGGCCGCTATGATCAGTAATCATTCGCTAAACCCTGGGCCCTCGGAACTATAGTAACTATAGTCTTAAGATTCACTGCAGACAAAAATCTTGAGCCCAACCTAGCCTGGCCTAGCCTAGACTAGACATAGACTCTACATAGACATAGGCGCAACGAAGTCTCTAGGTCCTAGGTCTATTGGGTGAGCCCGGTGACTAGTGACTTGACTCATAACTATTGACTAGTGACTGGCTAGTGAATAGTGAAGAGTGATTAATTGACTAATGATGATTAGTGATTAGTGACTATGACTATAACTAGTAACTAGTGACTAGTGATGAGGGAGAAGTGACGACAAAAAGATAGATGAATACTTCCTGCACTGACACACATCCCACAGCGGTAAGCTGCTACTGCTTCGACACATAGCAACACGGATCAAGATGGCCTCCACATACTCAGCCATCTTCTTCTTTGCAGCCGCTGCATCCTCGACATTGCCCAAGAGGACATCCTTCTCATGTTTCTCGGTCAAACTCGAAGCCAAAGCATAGAAGCTGGGGTTCTCCCAAGTCCAAACCCCCGTCGTATCCTTCATCTTCTCGGCAACCTGATTGATCTTAGCTTCTGTTCGCATCGCAATCGTCTGGAAGGGCATCAAGGTCTGGAGGATGTGCCGAACAGCGGTCAAGACCTCAACATTGGAGTTCGCCTTCAGAAGCATTTCAAACTTCTCCTCCACAGAACTCGCAGCAACCGCGGACTTGATGGAGATCGGAACTTCCGCACCCACCGCCTCGACTGCATTGATATGCTGCAATCTGGAAGCAGGATTCATGGCTCTCACCTTGTCGGCATTGTCCTTCAAGATCAAAGCGGCTTCGCATGCCACGACCCACGGTCGAAGGAGAAATTGGTTGCGATCCTCTTCCCTCTCGTACTTGTCCAGCATCCTTCTTGCCTGCCGGAAATCAAGAAAGGCTGCACAGCATAGGCACAGGCATGGACCTTCACATAGTTCGAAACAGATAGACAAACATACACGTAGATGTAGACATAGTGACATAATTACTACGTGAAATAACAACATAAAACATACAATGCCATACATGAACTGACTCGCCTTCTTTGCTCCTGGTCCTAGTCTAGCCTAGTAAGAAATACAATAATACAACAGTCGCATTCACATGAGACGGATCATTATCAAATCGACCTACAAGACTATATCATAGTGTGCTGTTATCAATATGATTTTGGACTAGCTTGTTACTGATACTGTTACTATTGCACTTATTTCACTGTTACATGAGAAGCTATCAATTATTCATCACTAATCACTAATTTAATTGAATCTAACTGGTAACTGCCAGCTGCTAGCCGCCCCTTTAACCAGTAACTAGTAAACTAATGTAACTAATAGTTAATAGTTAGTAACACTTAGTAACAGTTAGTAAGTAAGTAAGTAACAATAACTGTTAGCTGTTAGCTGTTAGCAGTACTTAAGTAGTTTTATAAGTTAAACTGTTAAACAATTAATCAATCACTCGCTTTCTCACTCCCCAACCCTCCCTGCCCGGCCGCATCGACGGATCTTCCCAGAGGCTCCACAAAGCAAAGCAATGGATCGAGTTTGTAAAAGCAGTCTGGCACGGATCCAATGCGCGATGCAATCTTTGACAAGTTTGGTGGAAGCTTGGCCAAGTCGAGCTCACTCAAGGGGACACTTGTGCACTTCGCCCCCCCACTCTGCGAACCGGTACCTCTCGGTTTCTTGGGTGGCGGAGGCGACGAAGAGCGTCCGCTACCCCGACCTGCGGAACCCTTGCCGGTGCCTTTTCCCTTGGTGATCCTTTTCTTCGGTGCTTTTGTTGTGGCAGTTGCATCCTCATCCAAGAAAGTCATCTCCAAGGGTGCCTCCGCCGCAGCAGACTTGTGGAGCTCCCTTCGCGCCCGTTCATCGGCATCCATGTTCTCGTCCTCGCTGCTGATGCAACCTCCTGCAGCAAGGTGTCTGACTGGAGTTTGGGAACCCCATGGAGTGTGACCAATGGATTGACAAGCTGTGCAAGATGTAATGTAAGATGTAAGAAAACCTAGGACCTAGGACCTAAGACTTAAAACCTAAGCCATAAGACTTTGTAAGGTCCTAAGTCCCAGAGTCCTAGGGTCCTAGGGTCCTCGGGTCCTAGAGTCCTAGAGCCCTAGACTCTTATAGATTATTACAGGCCAGGGCCTACACTGGAGACTCTAGGCATGGAGCTAGCTGCTAGCTGTTACTAGTTCCTGGTAAACTAGTACTACTCATGGGTCAATACTAGTTACTATAAATTTACTAGTCACTAGTCACTAGTCACAGGAAACCCTCTTCATGGACCGCAATATCCAAGAGGACTATTTAAGCAGCCTGGTCTAGTGACTAGTCACTAGTCACTAGTCACACTAGTCACTAGCAGCTAGCATTAGTCATCTAATCAATCAAATCATTGAATCACCCAGTCAGCAAAGTTGCAAAATCGGATCGCGCCTTCACCGGGCTCCTGTTTCACAGCAGCAGCGGCTTCCTCCGTCTTCTTTCGATCTTCATAAACTTTATTGGCATCCGCTTGGATCGCACTCAGCCGTGAACCCGTGTTGGGGGTTTTGAGTGCTTGGACACGGCCCCTGAGGTCTGCAGCCGTGAGGAAATTCCAGGTGTTTGCAGCTTGTTGCGGGACCAACTGATTGCTTGCGGGCATATACAACTCCTGATGCTCGAAACCAGTGCTGCGAAAGATTTGGACCTCGTGCACAGAATCTCTGACGTCCTGTGGGAGGCCAACATAGGAAAGCAGGTAGCCATCGCACAAGGTGCCGTCTGTGATTTTCAAGGACACTTTCTTCAAGTCCTTGAGGTTCAAGGCTTCTGGTGGAATGCCCTTGCATAGAGCCGTTATCTGGGACTCTGTCAAGAAAGCAACCTTGAAGGAAATCTGCCATCCCTGGTGGGTCTCCTTCTGGACGCTGGATGCAGGATTCAGACGAGGCTCAGCCCCTTCCATGACACTGATCCCAGCATCGATCATGACCTTGACATTTGTGTTGTCACCTTTGTCATGGTACTTGATGCAAATTTCAGCTACGGGCTCACCCGGAAAGATGCGGAAAATGACAGTCATGCACCGTCTGCACAAGTCGCCAAAAGGGTCTCTGCGGTGGTCGTACTGTCCCCAGTGGTTGTCCTCCAAACAGGTCGTGCCTAGTGGCCTAGTGACTAGTGTAGTGTAGTGAAGTCCAATGACTAGTGACTCCTGACTAGTGACTTGTGAGGAGCGACTGATGACTAGTGAGTACAATGACAAAGGCGTCATCGACGAATCACGGATTAAGCATGTTAACACTATACGATTTCAATTGTAATGGTGGACTAGTGATTTCACTAGTCACTAGTGACAACTAGTCAAACAAGTCTTATCTGTCACTAGTGACTAGTGCAGCGAATGGAATCACCAAACTAGTGGTTCTCTATTTTCCGAAGACTTCGACTTCAACACAAACGATACACCGACTGGCTGACTTAGTGACTAGAGTCTAGAGTCTAGAGTCTACAGAGTCTAGGAGTCTACAGTAGCCAGTAGTCAGTAGTCACTAGTCACTAGTCTAGTCTACAATGTCTACAATCTACAATCTACAATGCTGCTACAAGCTGCTACAATCTACAACGACGACAGTGACCGACAGTGTGACTGACTACAGTGACTGCAACAGTGACTGCAGTGTATACCAACTTCTCCGAAATCATCAAAGCTGCACGTCATGCAAATCATATATCGCCATTCCGCCATGCCGGATCCCAGGTAAATGTCCTAGCCCTAGCCCTAGCCGCTAGCCGCCCTAGCCCTAGCCGCAGCCGCCCTAGCCGCCCTAGCCTTAGCCCAAGCGGCTACTAGCAGTTACTAGTTACTAGTTACCAGCTTACTAGCTGCTGCACTAGCAGTCACTAGCTGTTAGCTGTTAGCTGCCTAGCTTACTAGCTATTACAAGCTAGCTGCTAGCTGGCTGTAGCTGCTCGCTGCTAGCTGCTAGCTGCTAGCTGGCTAGCGGCTAGCTGCGAATGCATTTTCAACCTGGCCATCAACCCGTCACCCCAACCCAGTCCTCGCTGGACCGCTTGCAGATCACACAAAAGTAGATCTTTGTCGCCTTCCTGCGCTTCGAAGGAGCACTCGAGGCCGCAGTGGAGACCGTGTCGTCGTTGTCTACAAAGTTGTTCAACCAATCGTTGATATCGCCGTCCTCCTTCTTGTCGTCATCCGGCATGGCAGGATTCGGTATCTCCTTCGGCTCTTGCTTCACCTTCGCCTGCGGTGCCTTAGATACACAAGCCATGCCTCGCCCTAGGGCCCTAGGGTCCTAGGGCCATAGACCATGGGGCCATAGGGTCCTAGGGCCCAGGGTTGGGGTCTTGTCGAGGAGTTCAGGACAAGTCCACCTGTACCTCAGCCTGGGGCCTTAGGCCCTAGCCACCCTAGCCCTAATGTAGGAGTCCTTAAAAGCTAGGACATGATATCGCGCAGGCAAAGCCTCACAATCATAATGACAAGCCCCACCTCTTGCCTGTCACAATGAAAAAGGATTGGCTTGCTGGCTTAGTGATAGTGATAGTGACACCATGAAGCTGCATTTGGCATTTGCATTGCAAGAATTAAAATTTAACCTTTAGGGTAAAATCTCTACTACTGTACTGACTCTACTGCACGCATTCCAGAGCTGCATTACAAAACGACATGACCCCAGGACCGTGAAACACTATTCACTATTCACTATACATAGTTACAATAATAATGAATAATCATGAATTATCGTATCAAGTCGTACCATCATTCTACTGATTCTACTGAAGTTCTACACATATTACTCGTCAAAATCCTTCTCAACATCTTTGCAGCAGCTAAGAATACTGACCAGCGAATCGGGGCAGGCTCGTGCAAATACGAGTGTCCAAGTCTAAGCCCACTGCTGACTCATTGTGCCTGGGGCCTAGGGACTCATGACTGCCTAGTTATAGTTAGTGGCTGAGCTGCTGCTGCTTGCCAGCTGCTAAAATTTGCCAAGCTGCTGTTTTCGGAGACATGGCACCGCTGACAGCTCAGTGCCTGACCGCTTCTGGAATCTGTGTCTAGCTTCTGCAAAGAAGGGTGCAAATTAAGTCGTATCCTCGATCCTACGCCCTACGCCCTATGTCCCTATGTTGCAAAGCTTAAATCAGATATGAGTGTGAAATCAGCCACCGACCGAAACATGAGGGCATGGTAACTTTGCCGAACAAGCAGAAGATCCTATTATTTATTAAATCACTAACCATCACTGCCATCACTAATCACTATACTCATTCGTCAGTAATTCGTTAATCCTTAATCATTACTCATTAATCATCATCAAAAGTGAGTCGACTCGGGCTCCGTGGATAGCTGCACCTACAAAATGGCCCCGGCCTCCACAAGTGGTCTCGATGTCGCTGAGACAGCCGACTAGGTAGCAGATTTCCCGACTGAGCGGAAGCTGCCATGCATGCAAGAGCTGAAGCAAAGACCACTTACTTAGATGCAGCCTTGTGGTTACATTCAAGTTCACTCGGAAGCAGCAGCATGACACAAGGCATTAGACAAGAGTCCTAAACACAGAACACTGTGGGACACTGCTAGCTGCTAGCAGCTAGCATAGACTGGCATAGACTACACTCTGCTAGACTGGCAAGCAGATCCTGCAGACTGCATCACTGAAGTCTAAGCTTCTAGGCTCTAGACTTCAGACTCCAAACTCCGCACCTTCTTCTAAAACAAAGACAGCCCCACAAGGGGCAACACATTGTAAACGCACTGAAAAAAATAAACTCGATTCTACTCTAGACTCTAGACTCTAGACTCTAGACTCGACAAGACGGATTAAGGATTCTAGGTTCTAGATTCTAGATTCTACATTCGAATGAACCCTGCCACACTCTGCCAATTTGCTTCTGAATGAGCGGAACGTTCTCCTGAGCAGTTTGCGGCGACACGTGGCTTTCGGAATGTCCAGCCCACCCAATGCCTCATAGTCATAGTCATAGTCACACTACGTCATAGTGACCATAGCCACAATGCTATAGTGATACTGACATAGCCGTGTGAGCATCATGGTCCTGGTTCTAAGGCCCTGGTGCTGGAACATACCAGAATCGTTTGAAACTAGTAGAACTCATAAATTTACTTTACTAATTTATTAAAATTACAAGAATCATTAGCGTACTTGTTACTAGAGTCGCTCACTACGGCAATGAAAATCAGGACTGACCAGTGGATTCAGAATGTCGTACAAGGTCCTAGGTCCTAGAAGTCCTAGGGCCCTAGGGTCCTAGACTCTAGACTCTAGACAGATTCCAACCATGGACACATACTCCTGCAATGGCTGGGCCGACAATGCTCACTGAAGTTCTACACGATTCACTATTCTACTCTAGTAGTAGACACTGAAGGCTTTCCTCCTCAACTCCGACGGCGCTTCTAATGTTGTTGCCACACTGGCAGGAAACAATGCCAAACTCAGCAAATGCAATCTATCAGAATTCAGAACTCAGAACTGCTATGCTGCTATGTAATGTAACCTGCACCAAAATTCATATTGGAATGCAATGTCCCGCAACAATGATTGAAAAAACTATAGCCCGGAGCCTACGGCCATCGCCACGCGCGACACACAGCCTGTCATGGACTTGTGACACCCTGTCCTGTGGCTTTGGCCCTGCAGCCGGGCTGAGCAGAGCAACCCTGTCGGAGGAGAAAAAACATTTTGCATTGCACTATTCTGCGACTCCAGACTTCTAGCCTCTGCAGACTGCAGCTACACTCAAGCTAAATGCAATCACTGGATGGCAATCAAAGGACCGGCAAATCACATCTCATCTCACCCAAAGCCCAAGACTGTGCAATCCTAGAAAGCACAGCTGAGGAAGTACATTACTCTGAACACAAATCCTGAGCAGCTGCAGCTGCAGGTGTAGCGAAGTCACGAATTAATTTTCACCAAAAAACACCACACTACCGCATCTGCTATAGCCAGCTGCCCCAGCTGCCTGAGGCTTTGAAACCGGTGCATCATACAATAGAAACACCCAAACTCGGCTATGTGGCATGTCATGCCATTTCCACACTTTGCAGGACCACTCAAACTAAAACCTAGGACCCACGGCCAACCACTAAGTTCTTTCTAAGTCTAAGACTCTAAAGTCTAAAGTCCAACTAAGACACAAAGGAATTTAATTTGAAATTGAAACCCAAAGCCATGAATGAGCCCAGAACCATGAACAGCATCTTACTACAACATTTCACTACTCACTATTTCGCCTCACGCATGAAAGCCCTAGGCCCTCTCCCCTTGTCCTGTGACCTAATGACTATTGAAAGTATTCCAAGAACCAGCGTCATATTGGCAGTTTTTGTCATCATAATAATGACATAGTGACACAAACCATAGTGATCTGATATGCCATAATGCCATGATAAATGTAGCATTTAATACTGGCTCCTATAGTCATGCGGCCCTATGCTCGTGTAGTGTCTTATCTTATCGTCCTAGTCACTAGTCACTAGTCACTAGTCCTATTCAAGGTCCTATTCCTATTCATAGTGAGCCATTCCTGGTAACCTCGGTTCTTTAATGGTTCCAAGTAAAACACCTCGCGGTAAACCCTGGCCCTGGTCCTCTTCTATCGCCTTGTGCCTTTGTGACAGTCTAACTACTCAGTAACTACTCGAACACTCTGGACAAGATCACCTGATGCAAGAAATGTCATGCTTTAATAGCTTTCAATATCCACAATTATCCATGCGGCCTATGGCCCTATGAAACCATATCAAACATGACATATCACACCACATCATGCATTATGCCACACTGTCATTTCAATAAATCTGAATCTAACTCACAATGCGGCCTAAGACCTAGGACCTAAGACCTAGGACCTAGGACCTAGGACCTAGGACCTAAGACCTAAGACCTAAGACCAAGCCTCCCCTTTACATTTAAATGCTGCTACTGCTAAGCCTGGAAAGAAGGCATGGCTTCGGTCCTCGAAACAAAACTGCAAAACGATGCACCAAGTTTCAAGCCTATGGTCTATGGCTCCGGAAAGCGCTTTGTCAGAAACAAGCACCACAACAC